CTATTTATGACCAAAATCTGCGATTTTTCCTACCCTATTTATGACCTGGCCAAAAATTCGATACCCTCTTTATGACCATTGCGGCTGGCGCATTTGCCCTAAGCTTAAGTTATGAAGGGCTTTTGTTGACGTTCTGATTGATATTGATGAAAAAGTAGCTTCTTCTAAGGAACTTACCCAATTCAAGACTATAGTGCTAAAACCATACCCTATTTAAAACCAAAATGGCCAAAATCGATACCCTATTTGTGAGCAAAACGACTGAAAAACCCTACCCTTTGGGGCCGCACATTCCTATATAGCCCATGTAAGGGGGTACCCCCCCTCTCCGGGCTGTATGTGCGAAGATGAGAGTGCAAATCGTTGCTGAACGCAAGGAAGGAGTGTTGCTGGAAGCTGTAACAATGACAGTTAGCTCAGGAGAGTATTCCTTTCCATTCAATGCCTCTATCTCGATGGTACTGGTCCAGAACCGAGAAACACCCCGGCTTAAGAAGTGGGTTGTTCTGCACGAAGTCATATCGAGAGCAGGAGCCATCGAGGAGTTCTTCGATCTTGGGTTCGCCCTACTGTTGAAACAGATATTTTGATCGCCTGTATATTCTTCTCTAGCTTCGAGTGGAAAGCTCGAAATTCTGAAGGTAGGTAGGACATGAATTTGGGAAAAGACGGGCGTCACGCAGACGTTCATCTTCCAGCCATGCCCAGTAATATCGCGGACCAGGCCTAAACATAACTTAAGGGGGATTAATTTAGGTATAAGGCGTATATGGGAGATTTACTCTCTTACCTTGATCTTCTCATGAAGCTGGTCAGTTCAGCTGTTCGCGGTGGTGCAGCCGCTCTACCTTCGAGCGTGACGGCTAAACGACTTTTAAAGCAAAAAATAGAGGGACTGCTCACAACCTGGATCCAACACTTCCGATTTGTACAAGTCAACGAAGGAACTATAAAGACCCTGTGTTCGAGGCACTGGTGCAATGTTCCTTTACAGATACTTTAACCATTAACCTTTAGTTAGCGTAATTGTCCATAGCTCGCTAATCCGGCTATGGTGGTCAGCAGCGTGCTCAGGTGACAGATTTACTGCTGGCAGTCTGTTTTTCTCTCGAAATTCAGCAGGGTAATGAGGGAGGCGCTTTAGCCTAAAGAAACAACAACAACAACAACAATAAGGAGAATGGGACGAGGCATGGGTGCGGCACGCCTTCTTCCCTACTCGGCCACGGCCATACCGCCCTTTTGCATTCTCGATGACTTAAGACTCGTCTTAAGTGAAAACCCAGCTACCAGCAGTCTATTCGTGTATCTGCTGACAAAACTTACGCCGATCGCAACTTACGTACCTACGAGGGGCAGGATCTTAGGCTAGAAATGGTCCGCCATACGGTGTGATGTTATTCACTGGATGTGTTTTATTTCCTACGCAAGACTGCACCTCAAAAGTGAATGACGATTTGCCTACGAAAGGTTAGCTATACTAGACGGCGAGCAGTCCCTCTCGTGCGTGACGCGAAAGAAAACCGCGAGAAAAACATTGGCCGTGCGAACTCCTGGGGGCGAGAAGCACACGCACGTCTCGCACCCAGGATTTCACGCGACCATTTTTTCCTCACGGTTTATTTAAGGTCCCGCTCGAGGGACTAAGCAAAAGAGGACTGCTCGTAGTCTAAATTATAGATAAATCATCCACAAATAACTCGAAGTCAAGTGCTCAAGATCTACATCAGACAGCTTAATTCAATCAACCAATCTTTATTTGAACTTTATTTGCCACAATGGTCTTTTAAGAGGGGGGCATAAGGGGGGTCCGAAAACCGCAAAACCGCCTAAAAAAACGTAAAAAACCGCAATACCGCATGGAAATTTACCACCGAAACCGTAGTTACGGTGCCGTCATCATTACTTCTAGTTCGCCATTCCATTAGAAATACGACCTTATTCAGTTTGATAAAGGTGTATGTTAATGTTAATCAACGTATGATGATCGCACTCATAAAATATACTGTAATAATTGACACAAGTCCGTGGGACTGACTTCGTTATGCTGCTATGGAACTAATCTAAGTGCGCTCGCGCACGCACGAATATTGCTGAGTTACCCAATTGAAAAACATCGATGTTTACGACTTCAGCACTGGAAACCACTCGAATGTTACACAACGCAATCTTTCCGCGACTTTATTGTTTGGTGAAAATTCGTCAAGATGCTAGTTTTGAAGCTCAAACATCCCGAATACGAGCTTGGAACATCCATGTTATGTCCCAATTTGACTGAATCAACCTTTTAAAAATTTCATTTAAAATTTTCCAAGAAGAATTTTGAATGACCCGAAGACAACGTAGTCAGCCCCATGAAGTGTTCGGTAAAGCAAACGATTGTTGAAGCGTATAACTCTCCAGAAGCGAGTTCTTGCTCCCACAAGAAACGTC